GCCCATAAATATTCTGTTAACCAAGTGATTATTTTCTAAGATTTCACAAGAAAGAAGCAGAGTGTGTCTAGAAATAATTGTTATTTTCTTAGGTGAAAAGTATTACAGGCCTAAAAAAATAAATAAATAAGTTTTTTAAAAATATTCGTTTCTCATATGGTACAGGTGCCCAATCTCACATGAAGGTGGCTCTGGACAGCATACTTAATTTAAAAAAAAACACACAATTTAAAAATAAACTATTAAAAAGGTAAAACAAACAAGAGAGAGTGTTATTAGTCACATTAAGGTAGCCATCACAAAATTCCTTCGGTGTCTTGGGAACCCCCAGGCCTCATGGCATAATCAGATCTTGAGGGACTTGAGGAATGTTAGCTGTAGCTAACCTCATTTCCAGTGGGAGAAGATTTCCTAAAGCAGGTGCCACAACAGACAAGGTTCACCTTTTGGGACCTCCAAATGTAATTCCCTAGCAAATGGAATCTGTAGCATGATTTGTCTGCCAAATAGTTCCGACTCAACATTTGGATCTCTGTATCTAACCTCTCTTGGATTTGCTTTCTCTAAAGTACCCTTAGTTTGTTGTATTTAGATTATGTGTGCTAAAAATTACATTCAGCATTACTATTCCCTTCTATGAGCAAAAGTTAACTAAACAAAGGAGGAGAGAGCAAGTAGCTAAGATGAAAACAACCACCAAGCCAAACTTAAACAGTAATATCCAATAACATTGACCTGTAGTTGTAACCAAAGTCAATACATTGCTAAGTTTTTCTTTTGTCTATAAGTTATGCAAAATTCACTGAATTTGAAAACAGTAATTCATTTTACTAAGAAAATAGTAACATGTACTCATCCAAGTAATTCAGTTTTGTAAAGCTACCTGTATAATTATTTCCCACATTTTCATCTGCATATTTAAAAATACTAACTGTAACATAATTTCATTTAGGACCATACAAATCACAATTTTGGTATAAGCAAATAACATTGCATGGCTTGTAATGTCATTAAAAAGTAACCTGATGTATTTCGTGTAAGAACTGCCATGACTACTAGCAAATAAAATGATGAATCAACCTTAAGCAATCTTCTTAATTTGAATATGTCAGGATTTTATTCTTTCAGGTAAGAACTATTTTAATTGTCATTAAACAAGCGATACATGACTTGACAAATATTAAAACAAGTACTACACTCAATTATTAATTTGCACCGTTCTCTTTTAAATGCAGCAAATATCTCATTAATTTAATTTTAGGTGCCCACCAGTTTATATTTTACAGTCTGGAAGGCAATTTACTAACTGGCAATTACATACAGAATGATTGTTAATTCTGCTCCTAAGTGCTAGCTGCTTGAAAACTGTTACGTCTCTCTAATTTCTGACCTTCTTACAACAAGGGTGAGGTACATTGGGAATAGCAAGGCCTAGCAGAGAAGAGCTGGACATGTCATTTGTGACTCATTCTTTTAATTCACCGCGCTAATCAACTGAACTGCCACAATCTCCCAAGGTAATTGTATCTTTACAATAGTTGAAAGCAGCAGGCTAAAAGGCATAGATAGATGGCATATAAGGGACCTTCCCATCCTTCTGAGAATCAGCGCAGCAACTGCTCTCTATACGTGGCTGGTGGAGTCTGGGATTGTGGGGTGTTTTAAATTGGGTAGTTTTAGATCAATGTACATGTATCATTTAAATGCCTCCACTTCTGCACTTGGGAAGCTTCTTTTGCACACTATACCCTTGTTTCGTTCTTCTGCAGCTTTATTACCCTTTGTTCCACCTCATGCTGAGAAGGTTAAATGTTAGAATGCCAAGCCAGACTGCAAGCATGGTGGGATACTGATGAGAACCAGATGCCCTGGAGATTCTAGCCCTCCCTCTTATGGGACAACATAATTTTCATATTGTGAAATACAGTGAAGTTTGGCTCAGTTTTCAGTGGTGAGTGTAATTTCCAATGATTATCTCATTGTCCCCATCAATTTCAGGGCAATACAAATCAGACTGAAGTTTCCAGGTCAGACAGGCTGTGACCTTACCCTTCCTCTTACTTTCTCTAGCCATGTAGTACCTGAGACGTGTAGTAACTTGTAGCTTTTTTTATTTGTAGGCTTCCAGTAAATTAATTGCAGCCAGAACAGTTTTAGTAACTTTGCTTCTCTGAAATGTCATTCGTTCACATGTCCTATGACTTCTTGGGACAAAGAATACATTGACCAATGTAGCAGTGTAGCAGTGTTAAAACAGTGGCAAATTGTGAAAATTGCCATTAAAAATAGCTACTAAATAAATTAAATTCATCTGCTAAGACTGGATTCTCATTAGTATATGCAATAAAGTCATTGGAACTACTCATTTAGTTTGGAATTTATTAATTGCTGCTTTTAAAAACAAAACAGTCCTATACAAACATACACACACTACATATACAAACACACACACACACACACACATTGCTACTTAAATAGTAAATAGGGCTATTATTGGAAAAAATATCAAAATTATTTCTTAACAGTATTACACTTGGCAATATTACACTTCTGATCTATATTAAGTCTGCTGCACAAATTATAGTGAAATTCTAATTCTCTCTCCCTCCCTCTCTCTCTTTCTCTCTCATCATGTTTATTTAACTTTATTTTGGTCATTAACCAACACATAATAGCTAGGTTAAAAAGATCAAAATAAATGCATTATGATTTATCCCTGTGGAACTTTTTCAATAATCTACTGCTGCTATTTTCTCATGAGGTTGGCAGAATGCTTTCAGGTAACTTATTGTTAGTTTATTGCAACTTAGGTACAATACATACGCTTTTGAAGTATTTTATGTTTTTAAAATTTGGAAACTTAATAAAATTTGTTTAAAAACAACTATATGCTTTTGAAGTCTAAGGTTCAGTCACTTCAGAAAACTTTTTAAGGATTTAAGGATTTAACCATAAGCTATGCACAGACATTGGTTTAGACCAATGGCGAAATGCTCCACCCTTTTGTACTTTCAGAATGAAATCATATGTGACTTTGGAAGAGGCAAAATTTTATCAAAATGTCATTCTCCATAATCATTTTTTGTTCCTTTGTGTATATGTATGATTGAGGTTAGCCATCAGGCATGATTTTTTAGATATCTACAATAAAGACACTTAATACTTAGGCAAGTAGTATTTAGCCTTATACATACTTTTACTCATCATTTCTTTTAAATGTGGGTTAAAATAACAACCACAAACCATTTTATAATTAATTCCAAATATTTTGAAAAGGGGCATTTAGTAAAGTGCTATTTCAGTATGTATCATAAAGTGCTATTTCAGTATGTATTCAAACTTAGTATTAGTTTAAGATTTATGCATTATCATAATCTATCTTGTGTATTTTCATTTATCTTTTTATTCCAGTCCTACGCTTTATACAGAAACTATTTTTTTTAATGATTATACCAACATTCTACAGGAATCATACATATGATAAACAAATCAGTTGAGTTTTTTTCCTGAGATTATGCATCCCAAAAACTACATATTTGGTTAAAGATGGGACTATCTATATGCACCCTATTGATGCCAAATACTCTTTTTCTTTTCAGACCTGGTACCCTAAAAAAAATAACATAGTATCATCAACTATTACTTTCTTTACTTTGGGTAGTTTTCATCATATTTGTCATTGATGCTCTTTTTACAGATTTTTATCTAATTCTTTATTTAAGAATTCTAATGAAATATTTAGAAATGGTTCTTGAGAAAACCCATTTCACATAAGTTCTGACCAACTTAAACACAATTTCAATACACATTAGCTAACATCATGCGGAATACTTCTCTTTTTTCCACTATATAAATATTCTCATTCCCCCCTCCTCACACACACCCACACACACAACACACACACACACACACACAACATTTAAATTTCTCATAAACCTCTTACACTAGGATAAATCTATCAGAGGCAGTTCAATTAATCTGGATCAAGTGACTGGATAATTTAAAATATGAAAGTGAGATTTTTATAATATTTCCAACTCTATTGATACCATATGATATATGATACTATTGGAAATATGATTTTAAGTTTTGCATACCCCGATTTAATATTTCTCATGGCCATAGAAAGCTTGCCAATAAATATCTTTGTCCCACACATAGACTACATGCATACATACATATACAATTTACATAGGATCAGTATAATAACTTATAAACCATTATGGTCATTCTTGATTACATGTTCCTCCTGACAAAATTGTCAGTAAAATTATTACAATTTATAACTACATTTGGCTTTTTAATCTAGTATGTTCTTTGGATTTCTTTTTTAAAGTAAGCAATAGTTTACATACAAAGAGGTTAGTATTTGCAAAAATCGAATTTGATTCTGTTTTCATTACATGTCACAGTAATAGCTGCTTATAATAATTACTGAAATGACAATTGATGCCTACAATATATGTATAGTGAGGTCTACTTTTTTGAAATATAATGTTAAACAAAAATATTTAAAACATAATATGCAATCACAGTTCACAATATGTATTCATTAATTTGAGATTCAAAATAATTTAACTCTTCTAGAGGATTCTGTAATTCTTAAGCCTGCACACATGTAATCTACTTAAATTTGGGTCAGAGAACATATATATCTATTATGGTATTATAGTTCTGTACAGTTTTAACATTAATTTTTTACTATGTTATGGAATTACGATTGTTGATTCTGTATTAATACATATGAAATTTCTGTAGAGTTTAATTAATTAAACAATAAACTTTCTTTTAAATTAAAATGTAATTGGAGTGCACATAAAAATATTTACTTTGAATAAATAAATCCAGAGTTAGATGAATAAGGAGCTTCTTCCATGGAATGAAGGATGCATTTTGAGACTGATCCATCATTTTAAACATACTGACAGCAAAACCTTACAGTTTTCCTGCATCTTTAAAACATGTAAAATTCAACTTAGAGGTATAAGAGAAACAATTAC